AGTTATTTTGGGCATGAAAGAGACATCATACTGTTGGTAATGAACCCCCAAAGGGATTAAACCATTAAGCATGACATCTCAATCTCATGCTTGAACAAACAAGTAGTTTGAAACCACTTTCAAAGCAAAACAAAAGTCAAGAAAGGAGGGAGGTTGCACAAGGGTAAAGGCCTTAAAAGCAAGGTGTAAAGAAGGGTGAACCACCCCTCAACCTTTAGTGACCTTAAAACCCAAGTTTCAGCCCAAAAATACAGAGTTTTTACAGCTCAAACATGGTTGGAAAATAGTAAGAAAAAGAGTACTTAAAACAAGTAAAGAGGCAAAGCCTAAACCTCTTGAAGAGGAGAACCAATTCCAAGCAATAAAACAAGGCAAACACACCCTCAAGAGCTCAAACAAGGCTCAAGGATACCTCAGCTCAAAGATGAAGAGATTTGGTTAAGAGTATATAGGCAAAGGTAAAGAGTGTGTAGGCAAAGGTTGAAAAATTTGTAAGAGAGAGAGAGAGAGAATTGTAGAAAGAGAGGAAAAATTTTGCTCCAAAATTTTTGTAACCCCAAAACAAGAGGGGTGGCCCTCTATATATAGAAAACCAAGCTACTCCCTCAAAAGCATCCAACCATACACGTGGGAGCAAATGCAAGCATATGTGCAAACAGCTAGCACAGCTATCACAAAATATCTGTAAAAGACATTGGTGGCCGACAGGCCACTACTGGTGGCAGGCAACCAAGAGCTGTGGCCGGCAGGCCACTGCAGGGGCCGGCAGGCCACAAAAGGTTGCAGACTTAAAAACTCAATGTTTTGGTTCAAAAACACGGCAACAGGGGTGCAAGGTTTGAAAGGCTCAAAGCTGTGGCATTCCGCTGAGGACCTCGAGCACTTGAGAAACATATATACTTATCATTGGGTGTGCAAGTGATGACGTCCAAGTCTTAAGGGTAGTCAAAATTGGGGTGTCTACACCGCTCGAGTGAAAGAACAAAAATCTGGATAACAAAAGTTTGAAAAACAAGCTACCAACCTATTTCAAACACAACCACCACAACTCAAAAGCCAAACTCAAAGAGGTATAAGTAGAAACAAGACATGAATAACTATAAAAGATAACGAAACTCGAATTCAACGCATACAATGGGTCGGGTCTGAACCGAAAACGCTGTAATTCTGTTGCCATATTTTCCTTTTAGTATCGCCATTTCACATCGTTGTCCACAAACCCATTGGCCCCGGTTATCACTGACATCTCTTGACCAACCTCGACCTCAAGCACCGTTGAGCACGTTCTTTAGCTCTGATCATCATTCAGACTTCCTTCTGGCCTTCGCCGCTTTCTTGCCGATTTCTTCTCCACCAATTCTTCCTCAGCTACTTCGACCATCACGCTAGCAGTACCAGTAGTTCTGGTTCTTCTCCGTGATCCTTCTTGTCGGCCTTCTCCACTCCACCACGGGTGTCACTTCTCTTGTTTGCCTAAACGGCAGCACCGATGATCTTTTCATCACCGTAGTGCCTTTTGAAACTCCATAATCTCCAGCAACAGATTCTCCTCTTGGTTCTCCTCTACTTCACCTCTGAAACCCATTCACTCTCTCTTCTCTGTCCTTTTTGGCTTCACTCTTTCTTTAAACCCATTATTCCCACCAATTCAAGCAAACCAATTTATTTGTCTTCTTCACCCACACAGGCTTGTTCCCCACTCTCTCATCTTATCTCATTTGATTTCAAAATGAATTATTATTTTATTTTATTTTTTCCAAACTACTTTTAATCTTTTCAAATGCCACATTTTCATATTTTAAACTTTTCTTCCGCCCACACCACCCAAGTCTCTTACAAATTATTTAACCTTTTTTACAAATTGTCTTTTCTTCTTTTGTCCTTTTCCATCATTTTTTTCTTTAATTTAAATAGGTTGTCCCAATCTTCACTGCTCTTCAAAAAAAAAAAAAAACTACTTTCCTTTCTATCATTTTTTTTCTCTCTCTTTGTGTTGAGCCATCTATTTCACTCTGTGTTGAGCCATTTCACTCCACTTTGTCAATTGTTTTAATTTTCAAACTTATTTGAGTTTGAGGGGGTAGAGGGGGATATTATACCTATATCTTGGTGAGCATGGTGATATACCATTCGAACCATCCAAGTCCATTGATCTCTCTAGAGCACCACCACCTAAGCCACCCCCTGGCGCACTTTCTCATAAGTCGCCCCTTGGCGCACGTCCTAAAAAAAGGTCCAGCATGACCTCTTAAAATTGTCCTGACATTGATTCTGGTTAGTCCCTACAAGGGTCCAGAATGACCCCATAAGCTGTCTCCCGGCATTAGCTCCGGTCTCTATCTCAAGTGCCCTTGCGCTCCTATATGAACTTTGCAATTTATTTGCCTTAGATCTATTCATTTATTTTATTTTTAGTTTTATTTCATGTTTTTAGTTTCTCTCTCAAAACTCAAGTTGGTAATCCCTACTTGAGTTTGAGGGGGGGTGTTAGCATATCAAGTGTGAATTGAAGGTGTAAAACTCAAGCCCCCACGACAAGCCACTAAAAGCCACCTTCTCGAGCCTTCTTCCGCTCACATATCTTGACTTCATTGTCTCCCTCTTTTTTGTATTATCCCTCTTGTAATGTGTATATATATAGTTGTGTTACCATCATCAATAGAATTAAGTAATCATGTAATCATGCAATAAAGTATTCTAGTCATCAATACAATCTTCTCTCTTTTCTTCTCCCTCTGTACACTTATCTAACATTGCCAACATATACTTCACTTGGTTTTGCAAAGAGAAGCTTTAGCAATTCTGAAAGCATTGATCAATGATGTAATTGCCAACAAGCTTTATGTACAAAGCTTCTTTTCAACTTCAAACACATTTCGTATTGTAGATTTGGGATGCTCACTAGGACCAAACACATTTGTTGCCATGCAAAATGTAATAGAAGCTGTGGAACATAAGTACCAATCCAAAGGCCTTGAGTCTAAAATACCCGAATTTCAAGTCTTCTTTAATGGTCATGTCACAAATGATTTCAACACCCTCTTCACCACACTCCCTTTGGAAAAGCAATACTTTGTTGCGGGGGTTCTAGGTTCATTCCATGGTCGATTATTCCCCGAGGCCTCTCTTTATGTTGTTTATTCCTCCTATGCACTCTATTGGCCATCTAAGGTGCCAACAGAGGTTCTAAACAAAGACTCTCCTGCTTAGAACAAAGGGAAGATTTTTTACACAAGTGGCTCAGATGAAGTAGCTAATGCTTCTGCTGCACAATTTGCTGAGGACATGGAAACCTTCTTGAATGTTAGAGCTAGAGAGATTATGGTCGGACGGATGATAATACTTATTGTGCCATCTATTGCAAATGGGATCCGTCGTTCTTAGATCTCTGCAGGATGGTTTTATGAAGCTTTGGGCCCGAGCCTCACAGATATGGCGAATGAGGTGAGTCAATGATCATCCACTGTTTCTTGAATTACAAATTCCCCTTCTCTCTTCCCCTACAATTGGTCAAAGACAAGGAATTGGGCTCAACCCCACAAATTCCCCTTATTTGTTCTCCTCAAAAATTGTATTGTACAAGTATTGAGCATGTATTAAGTACGAGTATCGAGTATGAATTAATTACGAGTATGTATACCAATATAACTGCACATATATCGAGTATCAAAAATGTTTGGGACCCCCTTTTGGGGGGTTCTATGACCCTCAATTTGATCTTGGCCCTTGATGTATGTGTGAGTCCACTCATGTATGTGTGAGCTCCACATTATGAGTGGTTGGAATGAGAGTAGGGGTTATGGGAGTCATGTATGTATGGGGGTCTCTATCACAATTGTATCGAGTATGTATTGGATACATGTATGTAAACTGATATTGCTGCGAAGAAAAATAATTAAATGTTATGTACAACTTGAATATGTATCGAATACTTTTGTGTACTATCAAGACATAAATGTAAATTTGTAAAATAAAAGTAAAAAATTAAAGGTATCAAAATAAATATATTTTGTTTATTTTTAAAAATCCAAAAATAAGGGTATTTTTGCACATATTACAAATTTTAGAGAACACTTAGGCTTCTGTTTAATCTTTACAGAGAAATCATATCTCTCTCTCGATATTGTCCTTGTCGGTCAGCATAAACTCTAATTTGAACCTTTTTTAACTACTTTTTGTATTTGATCCTTATTTTAACTACCTTTTGCATTTGATTCCTAATTATTGTATATAATGCACTGTTACAAATTATAGCGGCATCTATATCCGTATTCTTGCTCTGCAAAAATATATGACGAATCTATTATAACAGGGATTGACAAGTGAAGCTCTAGTGGACTCCAACTTTCCAGTGTACATTCCCTATCCCAAGGAGATAGCTAAGTTGGTGGAAAAGAACAGCTTTTTTAGCATTGAGAGTATGTAGTTAAGTGACCCTGTATTGAATGTTGATGAGCCTGTTAATATCCACTCTGTCACTGCACATGAGAGCAACTATGGAGGGACTGATAACAAAACACTTCGGAAGTGACATAATGGATTGAACTGTTTGACCGGTACTATCACAATATAACCCAGTTCGAATTTATGGACCCGAACAGCAAGAAAAAAAATCTGCTATTCATTGCTCTCAAGCGCGAATGAGGCGATTTTGGAAAAAACAAACTTGTCTTCTTCGTTCATCTTTTTTTACTTTCAGTATTTGAGATTCCACTAGCAAAACTGTAGAACAAATGGTAGCTCTTGTTATCCCTGAAGAAGAAGTTCCTTGAGCCAACTTTTTTTTATGCTCCAAGCCCTTTCTTGGCTATTAATGTGTTTCCAAATTGCATTAGATTCCACATTTGAGTCCTATTCCATTTTGCTTTGGTTTTAGTTGCCTAAACAGGACTCGCGCACAAATCGCAAGTCTCTGCTCAAAAGCCACTGAAATTCACCATATGGAAAATGCTCCAGGGGACAGCATTGTGTCGAGCAACCAGTTCTAAGCAATACTAAAGTGAGAAAAAAAGACAATACACTACACTCCCAATCATCAGCATGGTTCATTTACATCAAATAATTCAGGAAAATAAACACCCAAAATCCATAGCGAAGATAAAATACATACACATCATACTAACATTTTGTCGAGTGATATTGCACAGTTTACGCCATGTTTAAATGCTTCAAAATGACAACATCAAACCTGCGTGACGCTGACTTTCTATCCCAAGCTCAATCCAGAACTGAGTTGTTTTTCAACGGAGGACATATGGAGAAGCCTCCTAGATTTCTCCTTCTTGATGTGGATCAGCTTATCATAAACACACCACGGAAAGCTAAGGAAATGCTCGCGATCCGTTCCCTCGTTAGAGCGACCCCAATAACTAGGATGATAGGTAACATAGTACCAAGCAGATGCTTTTGCGTATACGTCATCGGTTTCAGCATCTGATTCACTTCCACTTGTGTTGAACCATGACCTTGCTTCCTTCCTCAACGACCTCACGGCAAAGCCAACATCTTTCTCAGCTTTTTTCTGGTCAAAAAATTTCGACATTGTCATAATACTGCCACTGAGTATTTCACCTTCTGTTTGGATCCCATAACAATCCATAAGGTTTCCCAACTTGTCATCATACACATTTTTGCAATCAAAAGCATCGTCTATGTAATCCTCAAAACCATCCACTTCCATATCAGGATCATACGAATTCTCTGCCACTTCCTTCGTGAAGGATTTGATAGAGCTCGACTGTGGCGAAATGTCTTTCACTGCCCGGAAGAGCTTTCCCAGCACACGTTTTGATTCATAGGTGGACTTGTCAGACTTTTCCATAAAATCTGGATATTCTTTGACACGCAAATCTGGCGGTATCTCAGCCGGCACACCAGTCTTTGCGAAGTCAACTGCAATCGAGGATAGCTTTGCCAGCGCTATACAAGGATCGCTCATTGCTTTCGAAGGTTCTTTATCTGCAAAAACTGTGTGGGCATTCGAAATGATTCCTAAACTGTTGTTAACTATGTAGTTTGCAAAATATTCCTGGACTTCCTGCAGTGCACCCAAAAATAAATAAATAAACAGTGACATGACAAATAAAACAAAGAAACATGTTCTTCAAAATGGGATGGAACATTTGAACAAGACTAGTTTGGAGTTAAATCAAATATCTGGAGTGAACAGGAACATAAGCCAAGCATTAAATATTCAAGAGTGATTCTGTGCAGTGCATGACTACTTCTAGTGAGTTTTAATTTAAATTTATTTATTTACCTTGTCTTTTTGTTTTGTTAGTAGATTTATTATAGGAATGTTAGTAGCTTTATCAGAATCAGAGAAGCTGAGAGAGAAACATAGAGAGAAGAAGAGGAGAGAGAGAGAGAAGAGGATAGAGAAAGGAGAGAGAAGATTAGAGAAGAGGAAGAAGAAGAGGGAACACACAAGCTTGATGAACTAATTATTCATCTCTTCAAAGTCTAATTTTGTATAGGCTAAATTTTACTTTACACGCCTACACTATACATCCAATCCCACTTTGTCCCTTAACTTTTTAATTGTCTCAATCATCCCCTAGGCATCAAGTCAAGTTGCAATTGAGCCCATTTGTGTAATTTTGTTTCGAAAACTATCGAAGAACAACCACGTCATAGTATTATTAATTACACTAAGCATTCTTGCATTTTTATCAAAATTCCACTTTAATCCCTCCACTTTAGTCCTTAACACCCTTGTACTTTTACCAAAGTCTCACTTTATCCCTAAACTTTAGTCCCTCCATCAAGTTTTGAAACAATATTATATAACTAGGTTCAATTGTAACTTGACTCAAAGTTTAGGGATTTCAGTAAGACAGTTAAAAGGTCACGGGGTAAAGTGCAACTAGGTGTAAGTACAGAGGTACAAAATGTATTTTGCCCTTTTGTTTAACATCAATCAAGCCTTTTTATAAAGCTTCAAAAGACTCGAGAATATCATCTAAAATTTAGTCTACCTAACAGTGCAGCCTAATACTACTAAAATTCTATGACATAAACCTCTATGAGGCGGTGAACGAGGAGGAGGAAGAAGAAGGTTGATGAACAAGAAATCACAAAGAGGAGTAGGAAAAGAGCATAGCTCTATAATTCATTCAAATATCATAATAGTAGTCAATGGCTACATCCTCAGATTCCAATAAAATATTTATACTTGCAGTCTTCTAAACTTCCAACTATCAAAAACTTAAAAGAACTCGCACTACTTCCACCTTCATCAAAAAAACAGAAGGGTTTAATTCAAAGATTGAATGAAGGTAGTTGCATCGAAAGTCTTCCATTTTATGTCAAGTCCAAGGAACTCTGAATTCCCAATAGGCCACCTTGGTATCCACTTGGAATGACATGGCTGCCATGTTGGCATGACATCATAAATTCAAAATACATCAAGATTAAATCAAAAACCTCTAACAAGCCTAATCACTTAAAATTTATCTATAATCTACATGCGAGTCTCACATCATCTTCTTGATATTTGAGCTCCTAAAAGATTATGTGCAGCAACCCAACCCTCTGACAAGTTGTATGAGTGATTTCCAGAATATAACTTCTTCACTTTTTTGGCTAATTCTCTACAAAGTTGGATTATTCATATTTTTCATAGTCATCACCTTTTCCTTGATTTTTCAACCCAAAAGCCAGCTTCCACAGCTTTAACCTTTTTCCCAGCCCTACAATCATCAAACTGTGCGACCTCAAACAAACAAAAGCCAGCTGGGGTTAGCTTTCACCAATTGCCTGGAGGCTGCAGGGATTGACTCAATACTGACCACCCAACACTGCAGGACTACCCAGACAAATGAAAACAGAACAGAGTTTACAGTTGGTTCACTCCCTGAATAGGTTGCACTCACAGTACTTGTAAGCTATTTTTCTTCCTCTAAAACCCTAAAGTAGTTCCTTGCTAGAACTTCCACCAATAGTAGCTGGAATTTCAATTTCAAATCACCTTCAAAAGCAAGGCACTCAACCTTTGCATCATATAAGACCCCAAAACGAATCAACTGTTAGCAGCACCATAGACTACTCAAAGTGGTGATTTACAACGGCGAAAAACTAATTAAACCAAACCAAACTAAGCCTATGCCCAAATCAATTCATTCAGCTCTGTCACATGCTATATGCTCAATTAAAGTTAATAAATTAATATTCTTTTCTACTACCACATCTCATGTCAATTTAGATCTTCCCCTCCCCCTAATATTTATATTTAGAGGGCTTTATTAAACTTTCTATCCTTAAACTATTGCAAAATTGTCTCTGAGCTATCGATTAAGTCTATTCAATCTCTAGCGTATATAAATCAAAGTCTATTTTAGTCCTTAAACTATAGATTGAATCTATTAGGTCCTTAAAATATTTAATTCAAACATATTTAGTCCCTAAAAAGATTACAAAAATAAAATATAAACTCATGAATATTATAAATTAGTAAAAGACTCCACCTAATTAAGATTTTATTATAGAAAAATCTTCAATTTTTATTTTGTCTTTAAAAAAGTGTTTTATTTCGTTGTGTGTTTAAATTAATACTAAAGTCTAGTTTCTCAATCTTACCAATAAAATTATATGAGTATTAAATATACTAAAAAAGTAGAATTAAATCATTTAAATAATAACACTTGGCTGTAAATAATAATAGAACAAAATAATACATTAATTAAGTATAGAAAGAATTCAACAAAAAACTTAAAAATAATAAATCATAAATTATGAACGAAATCTGACATATAATATTAGATAAAAACAGCATGTGGCCATTGTAGAAAATAAGTAAAAAAATACTATAAATAATTACTCTTACTCTTATAAAGGAAATACACCATAAGATAAGACGTCCAATTTTCAAGGACGACAATAAAAATTTAAGAGAATTTTTTTTAAATAAAATTTTAAATAGATGGGGGCTTGTACTAATTTATAATACTTATGGGCTTATATTTTATTTTTGTAATCCTTTCAGGCACTAAATAGGTTTGAATTAACTACTTTAGGGACTTAATAGATTCAATTGATAGTTTAGGAACTAAATAGACTTTGATTTAAATAATATAAAAAATTAGTAGACTCAATCGATAATGCAAGAACTAAATAAACAATTTGGCAATAGTTTAAGGGTATAAAGTGTAATAAACCCTATTTAGACTGATCATATTACTCCCTGAATGTTATATTTGCAGTTTTCGTTACAAATAACCAAGCCATCTTAACATGTTCTCTAAGCTTATTTTCAATTACTGATGATTATATTACTTCCACAATCCTGTTTAGAAAACAAATAGCACAAAATTCACCAGAATGAGAATTTACAAGTTCAGAATTTCTATCTACATTATATACTGACTTCTAAGATGTTGATTTATTGATGGCCTTCTTGTCAGTCAATGAATAAGAAAAGCAAGATAATGACGAATAGAACACAGAAAGCTTCTTCAAAAAACAATAACAACTAGGTGAATCAGAAGGATAATGTTTCACTGCTCCCTTGCAGGAGGGAAGTGGGCCTCTGAGAAGGCAAGAGCAAGAAATAATAAATCAAATCTCAAATGCATATCTTTACAAATCAAGGAAACCACTCCAACATATAAGCCTCGTTTGGGAAGTTGGCCATTTTAGTAGGTTATTTTAATTTTTGGTTATTTTAGTAGGTTAAAATATTTGTATTTAGGAAGATGGTTGGATTTTTTTGTAATTAGATGTGATGTTTGTGAGAGAAAAAGTAAAATAATTATGGAGTTTGATTTGATCTGACATTTTGTCTTATTGGCTATTTTATCTTTTTGTGGATTTTAACCCAAAAAGCAAAAATAAAAAATAAAAGCTTTTGGCAAAGGCCATAAAGATGTGAAAAGTATTACCTCAATTGTGACATCATGATCCAACAGCATACTAGGTGCAGAAGTATAGTCCATGGGTTTAACTTGCTGCGGTGGAATCAGATCAGGGTCCCAACAGACAAAATAAATGTCTCCATCCAAATCACTCCCAGAACATTCATTCGGATGAGGTCTGCTACCAGAGTGAACTAAAATTAGTAACCATTAATATAGAAGAAAGTTGTTTATCCCTAACAAAATAAAACCAGTCAAATTTAACAGCATCAAAAAAATAAAACAAAATAAATAGATAACTACAACTAGTTTATGAACTACTATTAGGGACACCTAGAGCTTAACCAAGTCCCACATAAAACATTACTTGATGTTTGGTAGATAAAGTTGAGGTGGATTTTGAAAAATAAATTCTCAGTCAGACTATGCAAATTGCCTCTCTATTTTTCTTCAATTAAAACAACTGAATAAGATTCTTTAATCTAGCAGATTTACCAGCAAATTATTCAAAGTTGTTTAAACAATTTAAAGAACACTACGTAATATGACTTATAGGTCACCCTCTGGAAACTTAAAGCAAGACACTAGAATTCTTAGAAGATCCTACAAGGAAAGTATGACGACATTTACCTCAATCCTTTCTGTGGAAAAACAACACAATCCACCATATGGTGCAAAGCTGGCACATTAACAGCATTTAAGACACGAACATCACCCGGATGCAAGCAAGGATTTTTAGCAACAAATACCTTCCCTTGAACAATAAAATTAGGCTGGTCTGAGTCACTGTCACTAGGCATGAGAAGGGAATCATCATAAAATGCCCTATGACCAACCCCAGAAATTTGCACAAAAACCTGCCCATATTCCAAGGTTCTGGTTTCATCTAGACATCCCAACATGAACCTTCCCTTTGGAACAAATATCCTTGCTTTAGTCCGTAGTCCCAGCAACTTTGCTGCCCTAAATGTTTGCAACATCATCGAGAGGAATGGTTCAGCATCAGGCTTATACCCACACAAAAGCATTTCCTTGAGAATGTTGGTGTTCTCTCCTGTACACATCAATTCCAATGCCTCCCATGCCCTTAACGAATCTGTTAACATGTTATCCAATTCTTCTATTACTTCACTTTGCCTTTTTTCAAAGATATGATCCTCAACCCCAAGTGTAGACAAAAGAGTGATAAATTGGCGATTCAAGAAAGAAGGCATATAACCGCTCCATCTCAAAACATCCAATTTTGTGTGGTCTGACTCATATTTAGACATACTCATTCTCAATGACATTTTCATTGATGATGAGGGATCAACAGCCACAACTCCTTTGTACCCACCATATCGAATCTGAAAGGCAGATGGAGTAAGTTCAAGACCACATTTCTTGGCCACACTCTGAGCAAAGTCAGCAGATATTTTCCCAATTCCATCAGAGAAAACATATTTGTTTCCACCTGTTACAACCTCTACATCAGGAATAGGTTCAATTTCATGCCTACTAACACTCAAAGTTTCCCTAGAGGAACTGAAAGATTGACCAAGTCTAGCAGCATATTTAGCCACATTTCTAATCCGACGAAAATCACCCATCCACTTTCTTATATCAGCAGCAGTAACCCGATCACTTGAAGCAAACATCCATACAGAATTTCCCTTTAACTGACTTGACGAGAAGGCAAGAAAATCGAACTTCTTATTTCCAATAACAATTCCATCTCTAAGAATCGACAGTATCCTTCTATAAATGCCGGTTCTTGTTTCCTCATTTGAAGAAGCTACCCGTGGGGATAAATCTGTTGAAAACAACTTATCGAATTCCTCATCAACAAAAGAAACCCGGAGAAAATTATCAATATATTCAGAATAATGGCGTAAAACACGATTAGACATATTAACCTCTGGACCAGAGAAAAACACTTTGCATGGGGTTATTTGAACCCTATGTACATACATCAATCCGTTGTCTAAAGTAATATCAGGTGTTTTGGGAAGTTTCCTTAAGGTGGGGTATTTTATATATTGCTCCACAAGCCACCTTACAGGTTCATAGCAGCATTCTTTCGAATGATATAGCTTCTCTAGGGCATGCTCTATAAGTGCGATGTTCATTCTCTGCGGATTAACTAACCGATAGAAATTATTATCAAGTGTTGGTCCTGCAAGGTACCCTTGCTGAACCAATATACAGATCTTAAATAATATTTTATATGGCAAGTCAAGTTCATGAGGAGGACCCACAATGGGTACTAGATCCAAATTGCAAGAAAAAGGGAGACCACTCTCCAAAATGAATGGGCCTTCATTTTCTTTATAATAAGCAAAATATTCACTGAAGTTTAGAACTGGAACACCAGACGGAAGCTCCAAACATATAGCAGAAGATTGACCAAGGCAGAATAATGGAGTGAAATCAGTTTCCCTGACCCATTGGTACTCAGGAGTTTCCTTAGAATAGCTGTCAGCAGATTCTTCACATTTCTTGTAGATTTGACAAGCACCAAGCAACTAGAATTCAAACAGGGAAAAATATCAAAAATTGACCTTATTTATAATGTACAAGCGAGAAAGCTAGTTGAAGTGATTTTCCAGTAGTAACAACAACAATAACAATCCTAAGAAAATAATTTAGATCAACATGATTTGACAATAGCGATGGCAAGCATCAAACCAGCCCAAACTTGTAAGGAAAATAAGACAAATGCATTGCTTTTTGCTATGCAGAGTAGAAAGATGTGGTACTTTCACATTCTATTAAAATACTGCTAGAAATGGATTTGCCACAGCTATTCTTCAAGAAATCTTCTCACATCTACGAAAAACTAAAGTTACCAATCAATACAAAGATAATTAAGGATACCTTATTTTTTTAATTCCATTTGTTAAAGAACCCTTCTTGTTTGAGTTATACTGCTAGTGCTGTTGGGAAACCCCTCCATGCTGATAAGATGACTGAATCATGCAAGAGAATCAGCTTTGCTAGGATTTGGGTGGAGATTGGTGTTCAAGCCAAACTTCCTCAGTCTATAGATCTCACGATGGCTAATGGAGGGTGTATTGAAATTGGGATGCTGTACCCATGGAAGCCATCAAAATGTTCTACTACAGTTTTGTGTTTGGTCATGGTGCGGCTTCTTGTCCGAGTGTACCTTCTGGAGATGCAGTGGTTTCCCCTGTTAAGGAAAGAGTTTGAGTTGTAAAATCCAAGACTCTTGTTATCTAAGGCTGTGTTGGATGATGCTCCTCTGGTGGACTTTTGACCCAACTAATGATTCCAGTGTGGTTTCTAAGGCCACGTTTGTTTTGGAGGGTGAAGGATGGAATGTGAGTACGATGGTGGGGTTATTTAATGTTGTGTTTGTTTGTAGAATTAGGGAAATGATTAAGATGGAGGAGGGGATTAAGACATAGGTTGGAAGGGTGATTGGGATGGAAGAGGTGGAGGTCGTATTAGAGTATTAAAAAAATAGTGAAGGGATTAGAAATTTTTTTATTTTTTATATATTGAGATTTTTTTTTTTTGAATATTAATGTTTAATTTTTTTGTATTTTTTTATTATTTTATATAAAAATAATTTAACAACTATCAACAAGCAAACATAATTTTATCTAATCCCCTTATTATAAATCTTCTTTATTCTACCTCTGAAAATAAACCCACATAAGGTTTTGTGGCTGGGCAGCTAATGATGTTAATTGCCCTGATTCTATAAATTTTGCTGATGAACCTGCTGCACTTGGTAAAGCTGTCTCTGCCTCTCCTGAACCTGTTATACAGGGTTCTCCATCTGTTAATGGTGGGCATGGTGCACCTATTGTGAAGGGGCGTAGGAAAACTGTTAAGAAGAAATTATTAGGATTGGCTCTCAGAATATTAGGGGCCTTAATGATCCTATTAAGCAAGTTGAAGTTAGGCAGCTTATTAAGGATCATAATTTGTCCTTATTGGGCATTGTTGAAACTAAGGTTAGACTAGACAATTTACCCTCTACTCGTAGGAATTTTTTGCCATTCAATTGGGATTATATTCATAATGTTGGGTACCTTACATGGATTTGGACATGGATATCAGGTACATATGCATATTAGGGGATCGGACACTTCAAAATTAAAAATTAAAGATACGTGAATATGGATTTAAATATGAATACGGATATAGAAATACGTTAAATAATTATTTTTAAAATATATTCATTATATAAAGATGAGTTAAATAATTATTTTTTAAATATAATTATTATATGAATAATTTTTTTTATAAATAAGATCAAACATATGATAGGTCATGTTATGTTGAATAGAGTTTATAAATAGATTTACATATTTTATTTATTTATATGAATTCAACCCATTAAAATTTATTATGATACAAACTAACTAATAAGTTTAAATATTTTCTTTATTTTTTTTGGGTCTAAGCCTATTATAATTTATAATATTAATTATTATGATACAAATGAGAAGCCAAACTTTCTATTTATTTATTTGGATTTAAGTTATTTATTTATTTATTTGGTCCGGCCATTAGGGCTTGATACAAACAAAAGCAGTAGCAGCTTTGACACAAACAAGCAGATCGAAAGACAGAGCAGCAGCAAGATGTAGTGTGTCATTCTCCTCTTCGCTTCTCTCTCACACGCACAGCAACACGATGGAGTCTGTCTATTCTCTTCTCTCACACACGCACAGCACGATCGAGAGAGATATCGAGGAAGAGAAGGAGATCATGATAAAGAGAGAAGGAGATCGAGACAGAGAAGAAGATCAAAAGACACGATCAAGATCTTGAACCCAACATCAATGTAAGTATCTCAACCTCCTTCCTTTTTGATTAGCCGTGTCCGAGAGAGAAGAGGCGAATCTGACACAGATCTCACACCCGCACCCGTGTCGTGTCGACACAGGTATCTGATAGGAGCTTGCATTGGTATGAGTTGCGAGGTCTACATTATGGGCATGTTTGATTGAGTGAATTAGAGCATAGAATTGGAATTATTAAATCGTGGTCCCAATTATGCTATGTTTTAACATTTTGGTTTAGAATTATTAATTCAATGGATAATTAATCTAACAAATTTGTAGGATTATTAATAATGGGATAAGAGTAAGATTATTAATCCAATGGATATTAATCCAATTGCATAGTGAATACCAAACTAATTTAATAGGATTATTAATACTTCACTATTAATCTTGTGAATCAAACCTGGGTTAATTCTGATGCCTGGATTCTGTTGGGTGACTTTAATGCTGTGAGAAGATCTAATAAAAGATTTACTTCTCAAGGGTTTGATAGGACGGCTGCTTCTGAGTTTAATGCATATCTGGTGGACATTGAAGTTGATGGTCTAACTGCCAAAAGATTCTGGTTTACGTGGTCTAATAAGAGTGGTGGTATGGGGGATAAAAAGAGTAGAATTGATAGGGCCTTGGTGAACTATGTTTGGCAAGATTACTTTCCAGAATCTGAAGCTGCTTCTGATCATTGTTCTGTTATTGTCACCATTTGGCCTAATTGTGTGAGGAAGAGACCTTTCAAATTCTTTAATTTTTGGATGGCTAACTCAAAGTTTGATGATATTCTTATTGGAGTCAGCTTTGGGATGTTCATCCTATGTTAAGGTTGAGTTTGAAGCTGAGAAGCCTAATTTATATACATTTAAATATATAATTTAGGTATATGAATTATTAGAAAGATGGACTTTTGGATTTAAATCATGAGGTGTAACCATTGGATTTAAATCAAAAGACCTGACTCTTGGATCCAAAGGGTGTTATTTTTTAATCTAATGGACACGACTTTTGATCTAAGGGGACACAAACCCATGCTTATATAAAGGCAGAATAGGTTGGAAAATACGAAATCCATAGAATTTTCATGGATTTTCTCTCTAAGAATTCATATTGCTATTTTCCTCTTCTACTTGGTGGATTAGAAAAATCCAAAGGTATTCGGAATCTGATTTCGTTCGTATATAACGTAGTCAGATATCAATTTTTAAACTGGGCTTCATTGTATCTTGGAGGGATATTTGCGGGTAATCCAGTGCACACCATATTCGACAGAATTGGTGGGGGCCAATATCGTCTTAAAGAAAGTGACGCTATAACGCACATTAAAGCAATCCTAATTATTTTATGTTTTATCTCCTTCCATCACATTTACCAATTTTGCACCAACATTTCATTCACAAAAGTCCTCCCTTCCAAGATCATCTAAATACCCCTAAGCACCTCAAACATTTTATCAAATCGAGTTCAGCTTCGCTAGATTCCACAAAATATGGTAGTTCCATCAGGTATGTCTATTATGACACCCTGAAACAATGAATCAAACAGCCTATGTCATCAAAAATTTATAAATTCAACACTAATCACTTGATGAAGACTGTAAAATTTGAATCTCTAGTCTTTCCAAAATTGCTGAGACATACTAAATTGTGATGCTGTTTTTCTTTATAATTAAGTTGTGATGTTGCTTGCAGATAGCAAAATCAAAAATAATTTCACATAATCAAAATCCAAATAACCACCCGATCTAGACACACAAGTAATTTGATCCATGGGCGTAAAAGTGTTCAAAAGGACGTCAGTTTATTGAGAAGCAAGGGTACAGAGAAAAGCAAATAATGGAATGCTAATGGTAAAACATCCAAGTGGAACAAACCTGAATAAGAAGAAATTTTTCGGATTTATCAGGTGGACAACGAAGCTCAATCTGCCAGATGTTCTCATAAAGTAGCTCAAGCTTGTACTCGACAGAAAGGTAGGACAGGAAGAAACGCAGTTTTCTTCGGTGAAACCAAAATTCCACAGGGACATTTTCACTTTTCCACAGCACTGAAAACATGTCCTTTGAGGTCTGACATCCAAAATACAAAGTTTCAGCCTCCATGTCATGCACGTACACCTTTCGCTCTCGTTCAATATCAAATTCCTTTGGGTAAGCCTTCAAATAAGAAGTTTCATAATATATTTTCCTTTCATCTGCCAAAGAGATAATAAGATCAGCATTTTCAACAGTTGTGAATTGAACTCTGGCATATACTCTTGACTCTTTTTTTCTGGGCTCCTTAACCTGTACAAGATATACAGTTCCCGTTCCTGTGTATTGCTCTACCAATTCCTTAACAGTTTCCTCAGACACAAGGCAATGAAACCCAGCCAAGTCAATTGTCTTACCCATCAAATCCAAGTGACTTTACCTGCAGTCTCATTATGACAATACTTAATTAGGAATGGCAAATAAGAAAAGAACAGTAAGGAAACGAAATGAAAAGATAAGACTTCCTACTATAATACATAAAATGTGAGAATCGAAAGCACAATTACAATTGGAAGTAAAACAAAAACAAAAACAAATAATTGGCTGATTGTGAAATATACCACCTGATGCTAGAAAGCATTTGAGTAGTAAAAGGCTATAACTTGAAAGTACGGTCTGACACACACTGTAATATGAAAATAATAATAATAATTATTATTATTAGGCCTCGTTTGGGAAGGCTCTGTTTTAGTCAAAAAGTTACTAAATTAGTCAAAAAACCAACAACTCATACCAAAAAGTCAAAGATTCTCTTATCTCTCTACTTTTTGCACATATTTTCGTAATTAGCCAAAAAGTCATCCCAAACATACTAGTTTTTTTTAGTTCATATTTTAGCCAAATAGCCAAAAAGTTACTAAATTAGCCTGTTCCCAAACGAGGCCTTAGAGCGGAAGCACATAGAGAATGAAGGAGATGGATTACGAAATCAAAAGGAAACAAAATTGATAAACAGAAAATACAGAAATTTAAAATTTACAACAAACAAAACATTTAATTAAAACTTTTAACTTACAATTACAATAGCAGCAACTGCAAAGATCTTAAGTAGGTTACAAGATGTTGGTTTTCACTCAGAGCTCTTGGATTTTTTCCAGAATATAGTGTTTCTAAGAATTTCCAAGTCTGCCGAATGAGTTCAACTTGATTACATTATATACAAAACAAAGAAAAGAAAAGCAACATGTGACTGATGAAAGTAGCTGGCAGCGCATGGGATAAAACAGATGCTGTCGGTTGCTTTCGGTTGATTGATTGAATAGTTGAGCAGCTTTAGACAAAGTTGATTGGGTCAATAGTGACAGTGAACAGTAAAAGTGAACAATAACTTTTATTATTCATTACTTTCGGTGGAACATGTGAATAATGGAATCAATATAAATATAAATTGGCAATTTTTCTCAAAAGAGTATTGACTGAAGCTAATTTGTATCTATATGGAATCCAATGTTGATTATGAAAACGGATCCTGAGCATCTTGAAACTTTGGTCCGGAACATTGATTAGTTGATTCTTCAGAGGAGTGGGCTCGTTTTGAACCTTTTGAACCTTCTTCTGAACTGTCTGAATCGGTGGATTGGGCTTTAGCTTGATTCAAAAGTTGGTGAGCTAACTGGATCATATCTTCCTTGGATGACTTGGATTTATTCTTGGACTTGACTTTGGGCTGAGCAGGAGGTGAAATGGACTGTGATTTGGCCTTTGATTGGGCTGGCTGGGTAGCAACAGCTTTAGACTTTGATTTGAATGATTTGGGCTTGGAACCACTGGATGAGGGGCTTCCAAGGTTGACTGGAGGAAGGCTGGGCTGACTTCCTTGAGTAATTGCAGCAGTTGGGTTCTGCTGAGCTTTAGCAAGGGTAGGAGTTGGAGCATACTGATCAGGTGGGAATTCTTCTTGAACAATCTCAAGAATTCTGGGCACATTGAACTTTACCCACCATTTAACGGTGTGTTGGCGAATGATGATGTTATCATCAATCCTATATTGCCATTTAAATATCCATGGAATTTTGTATTTGGATATGAAGATGAGCAATAATGGAAATTGTCTTTGATGAGCAGTAAATGGATAAACAGAGGCAAAATAATTAACTATTTCACGGAGATCATCAGGGAGGATATCTGAAATGGCGCCATAGTGAGTCCACCATCTCAGAAACCAGGTAGGTATTTCAGATTTGAATTTTTGATCAAATGAGATGAACCAAGAATGACTGAAAGTTTCATTTTGGTACAAGAAAATCTTGAATCAAGCATCAACGTAATCATGGTAATTATATTGAATGGGATAACCAGGCAAATCACGAAGCTGGTTAGGATTATCCCATTCAGCCATGGAAACAATGTTGTGAATATAAATTGAATGATATAGGATCTTGTAAGTATAGGTTCGATCCTGGATTGGCTTGATCAAAATTGAATGGTGATGGAGTAGAATGTCTTTGTAATAGGAAAGGGTTTCTCTGGATGTGAAAGGATGAAATGGCATCCAGAGCCAAAATGGAATTTAGCAATTTCATTGATGGTTTGATTTTTTGGGTGACTGGGTTCTTTGTAGAACAGGTTAGTAACATGTGAATTGGTGTACTCAGATCAGGATGGTTTAATGGGGTTAACTGGGAATGGAGTAACTGAAACTGATTGGCTAGATGCAAAGGGATCGGAGGCCAATATAGATGAGTAATCAGGACGATAGATGTTACCAAGAGTTTGGTAACGGTTAACCATGTCAAGTGAATGAGATTGGGTGACTGACTCTAAAGGAGGGACAATAAGTTGATTAGGTTTACTGGAAGATGGGACCAAAGCCTTGGAGGGAGGCCTTGGACGGGACATCTGTTGAGAAAGAAACAATGGTTAGCAGCCAGAAAGAAGATCTAAATAATCTTGATGATGGTGTAAACAGTTGTAATTGTGAGCAAGTAAATTGCGACGGGCTTGAATTTGATGGTAATTGATATATTGGGCTCTTTTGGTAGTTGGTCTGGCTAATTTGAGGCGGTGAATACGATGGGTAAGTTGTTTAATTCGGGTGTTGAAATAAGTAATTCGGGATTTATGGTAAGAAGTAAATGGTGTGGTCATCCTTTACACCCTGTAAAAATTCCCGGGTAAGAAAATCAGGTAGGGAATTTTGACAACCAGGTATATAAGTAATATCAAAATCAAAAATGCTTAAAATAGCTTTCCAACGGGCAAAAATTTGTTTACTAGTAAGATTTTGAACATCTTTTTCTAAAATATATTTAGCAGATTTACAATCAACACGAAGTAAAAATTTTTGATTTAAAATATCATCTTGAAATTTTTGAATACATAAAACAGTAGATAAAATTTCTTTTTTAATAATAATTATTATTATTATCATATGCGAAAAAAATTGTCTATAGTTTCAGGTCATCTTACTCCTTAGATGCTTTAACGGTTCCTATGCAGTCTCCATAATTAATAAAATATGTTAATCAACAAGAAGAATATAAACTTCATTTCTACAGTATCTTTTTCATCTTCTCCTTTTTTGCCTCTTTTCTACAATCAAACCCAAAAAGCCACCAACTAAAATGATTGTACAAAGTAAGAGGCAATAATTTCATGTTCCTCAAGACATACAATGCCAAGAGATATCAGGTGTATCATCACCAAGAACTACTGATGGCTAAGGAAAAGGAATTGGAAAAAGAATTAATTAGAGATTTAGTAATTTATTTTAGTATCCATTTATTTCAGGAGTTATTAGGTTTATTTTATGATTTAAGATTTAATTATTATTACTTTTATTTATTATTATTATTTTTTTTATTTTTTGGGTAACTTGAATTAAGGCTTCATAGGATTCCTATAAATAGGCCTATATGTAATAGGTTTTGGAGAGTTTAACATAGTATTTAAGAAAGGATATTGCATTGGTATTATTTTCCCCCCTTTCCTTTTTCTCTTCTTCTCTTCATCTCTAAAATGATCTCCCCCTTCCATTTGCTTCTCTTCTTGCTTCATCTTTGTTCCCCTTCTCTTCTTTCATGCTAGTGTTATATGGACTCTTCAATTTACCCCAAACAAAGTACTCGTGTCTACCAAATATGACAACGGTAATGGTGTGAGATATATGGCTGACACACCCATACCCATTTTAGACACTTGAATCCTCTGAATTTTTATTATGTATGAAGAAAAAGAAACTTACATTTCCTAGTAAAGAAACATTTATAGTCTCACATGGATGAGAGATAGAAGTACCATATTTTCCTTAAATTCTATTTAATTTTGAACTCATTTTTTATATAATTTACAATATCACATCTACTAATATTATACAATATGCAATATATATATATATATAAGTTCCCATGATGTGCCCACCACTTTTGAAAAAAGTATATTAAATTTTAAGTTTACGAATGTATGATGCTTGGACATGCACCCACACCTGATATTCCTACCTAAGTCCATGTAACATAGACTAGGACTAGCATAGGTTGGTAATTTTGTGACTTTGTATGTGCGATCTAAGATAGAAACCTAAACCATTGTTGTGGGGAGCACATTGGAAAGCCTAGAAGCCTTGGAGACTTTGGAGATTTGTAACATTCATGCTTATTAAGCCTTTGGGATGCATTTAATTCCACTACTCTGTTATTTAAAATCCTTTGGTTGGTGTATTTTGGTGTTAGTTGAGTGAAAAATCCGATCTATACTTTGATTAGGATGTCTAATTGTGTACAGATCTGTCAGAAATATGCTTTAAGACCTTGAAATCTTGTTCTGGGTGTCGACACTTGCCTTTCTTCCCTCCCTCTACTTGCTATTTTCGGGTGTCGACACTCTCTTCCTGGTGTCAACACCGTCTAGACTGGAGAGACCCAGGTGCACATTACTTGGAAGTGTTGACACCTAGGCATCTTGGGGTCGACACTGTCTGGCATGGAGTGATTTAGTGCACACTGCTTCCTTCCTGGTGTCAACACCTGGGCTTCCTGGTGTTGGTGTCGCGCCTGTGTTGAACTTGTTCCTTCGCACCTATGCACGTGGGTGTCGACACCTCTCTTTGAGATGTTGACACTTGACAAAAACACTAAGACATTTCAACCATGTTTTGGGCCCAACTTTTGGGATTTTTTACTTTATATTTTATGTAATCTTGGGCCCTACAACCCATTTTGTCCCTTCACTATAAATAGAGGTACTCTCTTCTTTTTCCTCACTTTTTTCATTCTCTCTCTGTTAGAATAGTCATACGTTATTTTTTATGTTAAGTTGAAGGTGTACTATGGTCATATTGTATTTTCTGTCTTTTCTTTCATATAAATACAAGTTGTTCGTGGAGGGTTTAATTAATAACCCAAAACCCTATTTTCTTCTCTTCTTCTTATCTATAATCTAACCCTAGTTTCACATGTTTTACACTCTAACTTGGTATCAAATCTACCGATTCTCCTCTAGAAAGTGTTCAGCAGATTCTGGAGATCATCGTGAGGTGGTAGAGACATGCTGACATTGGGGTTGTTTGTTTCAGCTTTTTAAAGCTAACTTATAGCTTTTAGCTTTGAAAAAGTTATTTTAGACTGTTTGGTTAAACTTATTTCAAACAGTTTCTGATTCTAATAGCTTATTTTAACTCAAAAAAAGCTAATTCTGAGAAGCTGCTTGCCCCTTGCTTCTGATTATCAGCTTCTGCTATGGACATGTTAATTTATGGTTATACTCTTATATTTTATTTTATTATTTTTAAAAAAAAAATAGAAAAAGACCCAAGTGGACTGTAGGTTATTATTATTATTATTATTTATGAGAAATGTAGACAAGTAGTAAATAATAAATAATAAAAATTAATTGAAAAAGCTATTCCACAGCTTATTTAACAAACACTATTCAGCAACTTAAATTTATAATTTAACAGCTATACCAAACAGATTAACAACTTATGATTAAAGTCATAATCTATAATTTGTTAAGTTATAATGTATAAGTTGTTTTAATAGGTACACCAAATGGGGCCGTTATCATCGGTACGATGACATCAGCTTGACATCATAACCTATATGGATCAGGCTCGTTTTTCCCTTCTGATAATAATCGTAATTTTTTGTGGAATTTTTTTACAACAATTGATGTGAGTTTCTGATTTTTGAATGATTTTCGAGTTTTTTGGTCTCATTTTTTTAATCTGTGATTTGGAGTGTTATTCGAGGATTTTACTGGTTGGAACACAAACCCTGGGTGTCGAAATTGATAGGAGATGTATCCTTGAGGTTGTTTTGTTTGATTTGTTGGCGTTGGGTTAGAGTTTGTGTTTGGTTCCTCACGGTGCTCGAAAATTTTACCTCCTGACAGATCGAGTCCCTATTTATTTTTTTATTTCCTTGCTGCTGTGTTGGTGTTCTCCCAATTGTTGGGTGTGTGTTGGGTCATTCTTTGTTGACATTGTTGATTGGGTTTCTTCGTTGCTTGTGATATTGCCCTATATTTATTTTTTGCTTTTTGATATTTGTGTGCCTGATTATCATGGCTGAGGCAAAGCCCCCAATGGTTAAAGATAATGAGATGCCTAAATCTATTACAGCCAAGAAATTAAATGGTTGAACTATTTGGCTTGGGCTCACGTAGTGAAGGTTTTCTTACGTGGCAAGAAGAAATTATCTCCCTTTCAAACCAAATGGTAAATAGTATGATGATTGGTCTAGTTATGACTTCGGTTTTATGTGGTGACTTTGGCATAGTTTGGAACCTCGGGTTACTACTACCGTTGAATTTTGCGAAACGTCTAAACAAATTTGGAACTCTCTTGCCGAGTCATTTTCCATCAGAGTAACGTTTCTCGAGTTTGTAAGTTGTACAAACAAATCTTTGCTACTCGGCAGAGTGGTCATTCCCTTTCAGACTATTACAATGGCCTTAAGAATTTGTGGGATCAATTATTGCAACATCGTCCATTTACTACGGATTTAGCTTAACAGAAGAAATATTGGGAAGAGTTTATGATGGCATCCTTACTCACAAGCCTAGATTCTAACTCGCAAAGTTACAGGGATCAGATTCTTGCTAGTGAGAAGTTACCTTCTACTGCTAATGATTCTCGCTTGTTGCGTTCATCCTTGGAACAGAGTCATGTCATATCTGGCTCCTCTTCTCCATCTGTATCCTCATCTACATTGATCTCTAATAGTAGTGATTGTGGTCATCTCTATGGTGCTTTTCATGGCAACTCAAGTCATCGTGGCTCTTATACTAGTTCTCGTGGCTATAATTCCCGTGGTAGTTCTTCTCATGGCTCCCACGGTGGTGGTGGTTCTCGTGGCGGATATTCTCGTGGTGGTGGTTCCGTTCCATGTGGTGATCGCAAGTGTACTCATTGTGGTTCCTCCGGTCAAAACATATCCAGACATTATTCTAACTTCTCTAGACATTATTCTAGTTTGTGAAATCAAAACCCTTTGTTCTGAAAGATGTAAGCCATTAGAGCATCCTTAATTGTATCTCTCTCTAGCTCTTTGAACCACTGGTGTAATTGTTTGTATTTTGGATAGATGACAAGGCAGAAACCAGGAATATCTTAAGAAAAGGAATTAATATTACTCGACAGAGATTCTGTCAAGTCAGTTGGCCAACCAAACCACATAGGTTGATCGACCAAAGCAGGATCTAGAGAAGAGTTTTATGTACCCATTGTTTGGTCTAACAAAACATTAGTCATGGACTCATGGTCAACCAAATTGGATGTCCTAAAACCATGCCCAAATGGCTTGGCCGACCAAGTGGGAAATTTTGGCAGGCCAACTGGAGGTTGTTTTAAGGACAACTAGTCGTTTATAGTCTAAGAAGCACGAATACGGATACAGATGCAGACACGCGATACAGTGATTTTAAAAAAATGGAGACACGAACATGGCTGGCACACGACAATAAAATATGTTTTCATATAAGTTTATATGCTATCTAGATTAATATTACAATTATAAACAATCAATATTAATAAAAACTAACTCTAATTCTATATTTTTTTTATAGACACGCGATACAGTGATTTTAAAAAAATGGAGAGTGGATGTAGGCACAACGGTTTCAGGTGAACATAACGAAAACACATGTTTAGTAGAGAAATTCCGAGAAGGTATGCCAAGAGTGGATGTAGGCACAACGGTGTGCCAAACCACTATAAATCTTATACTTATATGTGAATGAGATGAGTGCAACACTCACATGTTAATTGAAAGGAACTTATATTTGATTGCATATGTTGTGACTGTGTTAGCTTAGAATTTAACTCCATATTTGTTGAAGCTACACATTAATTTGAATGTATGCTCTAAACTCAAATGATTAAAATTAATAAAATAAACAAATAATCTCATTGAGATGAGTTAGAAAATTAGCTAATTTTCAAGCTCAACTAAGTAAAGACAAAATCTTAGTGACTTGGTAAAGATAATTTGTTAAAGACCAAACATAAGATTCATAAGAGGATAAAGTGAGAAAATTTTGTTTAGTCCCATTCACCCCCCTCTAGGAGGACACTTTCAACAGATAAACCTCACACAACACATAAAAAGCAGAAAACAGGTTAAAAGAAATGCAATCAATTTGTCTACTGGCATGAGCAAAAAGTATTTAAGTGAGATGTGACTGCAACTTGATCTTCTGTTTTTTTTTTTTTTCCTTCTCATTTTAAATCACCAAAATCTGTCTCAAAATCAATAAGTTGAAGAACACAGATCATTTCATCGAAAAAAAAAAGGAAAAAGGAAATCAAGAGGTTGCAATATGCAATTAAAGAAATGCATGTGGATCAGCTTTTTGAAAATTCAAAAACAAAAAATGGAAAAAGAAAGTAGAAAACAAAATTGAGAGAACAACTATCGACACATCTAATGTTCATTGATTTGATTTTTGAGACGAGAAGGGGCACTTGCCCCTCATGAGAATGTGAAAGAAAAATAAAATAAAATAAAATAAAAAAATTGTCCTATACAAGCAAATGTATTTTTGCACATATGAACAATGATGCTTAAATATATAGTCTAGGTGTTCTTGTTACTATTTTAAGTCTCTTTTAGGTAATACACTCATACAATCCTTTTTTCTTTCTTTGTTATGGAAAAAGAAAAAAAAAAAGAAAGAATAAAACAAACAAGCGATGTTATAGAAGAACAGAACAGATCAGATCTATTACCCCATATAAAAGTATTATTAGAATTTCTTAGGGTTCATGAGAGATCAAACACCTAAAGCTATCTAAGGCACATACCAATAAATACAAATTTTGTAGGCTTCTGTTTTTGTTTTTGTTTTTGTTTTTTTTTGTAATTATTGATAAACATCGTGATCATTTGGTTACAATTATCAAAATTTTTTTACTTGTAATCTATAATTGATGAGTAGTGCTAAAACTATAATTAACTTATTGTGACTTCTTATTTGGTGAATAATTGTTATTATGTTTTACATATTTTTTTTTAAGGTAAAAATAAAAATAAAAAAAAAATAAAAATAAAATAAAAACTATGTGTTAAAGTTATCTAGCATAATTGTTTTAAACAAATATTCCTTCCACCCTCCCAAAACAATTTTTTGGCTGTGTACCTGTCACTCGGCACAATTAACTAATACAGGGATTTCAGTTTGCCCTGGAGTGGTTAAGAGCAAAATTAACAAGTTTAATTAGTGTCAATTACAATTCTTTTTGCTTTCTTTGTTAAGGAAAAGAAAAAAAGGAAAGAATAAAACAAACAAGCGATGTTATAGAAGAACAGAACAGATCAGATCTATTACCCCATATAAAAGTATTATTAGAATTTCTTAGGGTTCATGAGAGATCAAACACCTAAAGCTATCTAACGCACATACCAATAAATACAAATTTTGTAGGCTTCTGTTTTTGTTTTTATTTTTGTTTTTTTTGTAATTATTGATAAACATCATGATCATTTGGTTACAATTATCATAATTTTTTTACTTGTAATCTATAATTGATGAGTAGTGCTAAAACTATAATTAACTTTATTATGACTTCTTATTTGGTGAATAATTGTTATTTTGTTTTTAAGGTACTTGGAAAATAAATAAAAATTCTATGTGTTAAAGGTAACTAGCATAATTGTTTTATCTAGCATAAAAATTCTATGTATTAATTATAATTTTTTTTTTTCCCATAACCAATAATGACCTTGTTTGGTAGGGTTTATTTCCAGCTTATTTCAGCTTTTAGCTTAATTTAAGTTATTTTGATGTGTTTGGTTCAGTTTAATAATACAGCTTATTGCTTTTTGTAAGTCAAAAATCAACTTATTCTTTGAGTGGTAGAGGAGAAGCTTAATTTATAAGTAAAAAATCAGCTTATGTTCATAGTTATAAGCTATTAGGCTATTAGGGTATAAGTTATAATTACTTTCTCATAGCTTTACTAAACGGGGCTAATAAGAAGATAATAATAATTTTTGAATTAACATTTAGTAAAAAAACTTTAATAAATTATTACAAAAGTATTTCACATAAAATTTTACAATTAACTTTGAGTAAAATCGAAAAGAAAATATTACGTGTAACTAGTGTATCATGGACAATGTAAAAAAATCATATATTTAAGTCATAAAATAAATTATAGAATGGTAAGATAAATCAAATTTTTACAAAATTTGAATAAATCAAATTTTTACAAAATTTGAATAAAAATTTCATATAATAGTAATATGAAATCATTATTGACATATGATATCACCAATCAATAGTAAAGCAGCATATGAGGGGTGAACTTCACATGCAAGTATAACTAACACTCTAGTAATTTTTACATATATATAGTGAGATTAATTATATTTACATATCAATAATGATAGATATTAGCTTTATATTGAGATTTTTTCACAAATTTTTTATATATAAAAATATAATTTGTTGTAGTCACTTTATTTTCAATAAAACAATCACTATTTATATGTTATTTTAATTATTATTTTTGTTTAAAATTTTATTTATATACATATGTGAAAAAAAAAAAAGAAAAATCCAAAAAAATCAGCGAGGTCACTATGTGGCTCCACCACTGGGTCCTATCATGTTATGTTATTGTGAGATCAAATTGGGGGAGCTTTCTTGGAAGTGTCAAACATTTTCCTTTTAGTCTATTGATTATTAAATGAATTTGATTGTAGATAAAATATTGTCTTAATCCCAAATGCCAGCTAAACATGACACTGCTTGTAATATTATAACTATTTTCAGAATTAAAAGTTTCGGAAAAAAGCTTCCAAATATAAGAGAATACTTCAATTAATGTACTAAATTATATTAAAAAAATCATGTTATTTCCCAAATGCATGCATTGCTTTTCATAAAAATAGACAATACATGTAAAAGTTGCTTCAAAAAAAATAAAAAAATTTCAAAATTAAAATTAATAAAATTCTAGCTAACATGAACCATACCATTAAAAATATTAAATGGATTAAGCCATAATATCAATTGAAACAGACATGTTAACCAAACTAGAATATGAACACTTAATTAGGAATTTTGCATTTCAAAAAGTGAGAAAAACCAACAAATTTTAAAGTGCCTCAACCCAAAGCCATCTTTGATTCTATCAATTGAAACTTTTGTTCTTTTTAGTTTCATTTTCTTTTGGGTTTTCTAATAAACTGTATAAATAGACTACTGGGAATCAGAACAAAGACTCCACAATGGATTTTACCCACAAAGAATGAATCTTGAAGAAGCAAAATCAGTAACTAAAAAACAGCTTACATACCAAGAATATTGACAGATAAAGAGACAATTTGATCAAAGTTAATACAAGTAGAGAGAGAGAGAGAGAGAGACTCACAAGAAGATGCAGAGCTCCTATTATCAGACAAGCAAAACCTGAAGGAGCTCACAGAACGTACCAAATTTATAGGAGAGAGGCAAATGTAGTGTATATACACATTTTGTATAGGCATTATACTATTTGAGATGGAGAAAAGAAACATTCTTCCACAACAGTGAGAAAAAGTTGTCTAGGAATTGACTATCAAAGTCTCCCAAAAAAAACAAAATTTGGAAAAAAATGATTCCTTAGCGAGCAAGCAAATTGGGTCACTGTTGAATGTGCCAATGTTTTTTTCTTTTCTTTTCTTAAACAGTTGTGTGAGTTATTTAACACTCGTTTGACAATATTACTTTTTAGTTTAAAAGTTAAAAAATTATTAAAAAAATCAAAAACTAACAACTTATACTAAAAAGTCAAAATTTTCTTTTTCTCTCTACTTATTGTACATCTTTTCGTAAAAAATTAAAAAGTCAACACAAACATATTAATTTTTTTTACATCATATTTTAATCAAAAAGTCAAAAAGTTATTAAAAAAGCTTATTCCCAAACAGGGCCGCCGGCATAGGTTCATCAGGCCATGGCGTAGGGCCATTCAAAATAGACTCAAAAAATGGTCTATCCTATTATAGTTTAGTGTAATATATTATGTATGCTTTTAAGTCAAAAAAAAATTAAAGAAGGCCCAAATTAAAAGGCTCATCCAAAATTAAAAGGTTCATTCTCTCTCCTTATTTAATTTTTAACCTTAACTCTTAATTCAATTTTCTCAAAAATTTGAGAGAAACGACACAATAATGCACTAACGAATTTCTTAAGAATTCAGAGCAGCACAATACAGGTGGGTCTTTTTTTCTATTCAATTAATTAAATATTTATCTTGTTTTTTGCTCAATTGTTATTATAATATTGGTATTTATACAATCGGCATAATTGGGCCCTGCCGTTTACAACGACCTACTCGGCAATGACTTATGGCCCATCGGGCCTTTGTAAAGCTTTGATGTAACAGCAATTTAAAGATATTTCATTTTTATTCGGCCCCCACAGGTATACTTCTTTTTTTGGGACGTACGTTGTAACTAGGTCTGTCCACTAGGGGTGGGCGCGGGTCGGTTGCGGCCACAGAACCTCCAATCCGCCATCCGTCCGTCAGATTGGCGGATTGGAGAAAATCAATCCGCATCCGTCCGCTAATCCGGCGAATGTGGATTGAGCGGATTGGCGGTTTGGCGGATGGATGCGAATCGGTTTGGCGGTTTGAAATTTTATAAATGTTTAACATAATTCAACTTGTGCATTTCTTCAAAAAAAAAAAAAAGTATTACAATCAATGACTTAAAAAAATATTACAATTACTGCATGCATCATCCAAAGAAAGAAAGTTTGAAACTTTAGAATATCACAATCACTGCATGTCTCATCCACATATTACAATCACAGTATGCCTCATCCACGTAAAGTATTACAATCTGTGGTTCTTAAAATATAAAAACAATTCAAACCACCAAAACTATGAACAGAGCAATAGTAGAGATTGTTATATCATATTTTCTATTTATTATTTTTAGAGTTATATTTAAAAACTAAAAAATATAGATGAATAATACGTTTATTTTTTTCAATTCAAAAAATATATTAAAGTTGAAAACTTTTTTTCAACAGAATATTTAAACTATTTTTTAATTGAAAACACAAACATAATATTTAAACAAATTGAAAATACAAAATCTTATAAATTACTAAGGGTGCTCGCGATTTGGCGGTTCGGTTGTGGCTAAAGGAACCTCAAATCCGCCATCCGTCCGCCAAATTGGCGGATTGGAGAAAATCAATTCGCAACCGTCCGCTCGTCATCACGCGTCAGTCCAAAATGCGGCGGATCGGTTCGGTTCGGTCGGTTTTGACGGATCGGTATATCCGCTGCTCACCCCTACTAGCGTGCAAGAAAAAAATGATTCCTTAGCAAAGTTTTTTTTTCTTAAACCTGAAGTTTTTTCTTAAACAACTGTTGAGTGTACTCTGAGTTATTTATACAGTATATTTTTTTATTTTAAATTATTTTGTGCAATTTCTATTTACAGTATATCAAGTAAAAATATGAAAAATTTACCCATAAATCACACATGAAAGAATATTAATCCATTTGGTCTTAAGAATTTTTTTATGAATCAATTAGTTTTTTTTTTTGTTTTAAAAAATTGTATTTATTTGATTTAGTACTATTTGAGTTTAAGTGAATATCATTTTGTGATTTATTTTTTAAATTTTTTATTTGTTTTTGGGATGGAAATAGAAAGGTGAGGTGTGTAAGATTCTTTTGAAAGGATTAGTGGCTGAAGTGTTGACTGTCAAGCTTGAAAATCTACATTTCTGTTAATGTAGTTTTCTCGTGTTACATTGAAGTGTTATATTAGAATGCTATGTTTAAAAATAAAAATAAAAATACACTAAGAAGTTTTTGTGTATTACATTAATTGAAGTGTTACATTTGTCCCTCAATACATAACACACGTTTATGCTTAGTCTTTTATGTAATTCATACTAGAATGAGACTTTTAGATCCATTAAAAAAAAAAAAAAAAAAAAAGTTTCATAAGATCACTATTTAGAATTTGTTGATACTTAAATACTTTTTTTAAAAAATAATTATTTAACAATTGAAGATTATTTCTACTTTCTAATTAGGGCAAACTTCACTTTACCTCCTATGGTTTGGGTCGCGTATGATTTAACCCCCTGACGTTTGGAAATCACCACATAGCCTCCTGTAGTTACTAGATTGAATTGCACAGTTAGCATTTCTATCTAACATAACAATCTGTGCATAACACGTGCCTAATATGCAAATGGGCATGGAAAGATGATTTTCCCTCTGAATTAAATGACAAAAATGCCCTTATCTTCATCATCAATATCCAGATTTGTAAACCTCTACCTAGGAGAAAAAAAAATGTGAAAGGATTATTAGATCTATAAAAATCAGAAAAGAAAATACATAATCTTTTTAACTTAATTTTCATATAATTATATTTTACAGATACATATATCTATATTTATATAGATACTGTAATTTTTATACATATATATACACACACTACATATTTATATATACACACTATAAACAAAGCAGCCTTTCTTCTTCATTTTTCAAAACACAAAATAATTTTCTCTATCTCTCTCTCAGCCATTCTTACTTTCCTTCGTATATGAGCTGAGAGTAGTCTTTACTCAACTATTTCTCCTTTCTGTGAACTACAACGTAAATGATCATGTCTCGCGTGTGTTCGCACTGTAAAAACAATGGCCACAGCTCTTGCAACTACTCTAACACTAGCGGTTGTGCGGCACCAAAAAATTAAAAAAACAAACACATACTGTGGGTGTTGATTTTTGACCACATAACAAAACTAGGGACTCAGCTGGAGAGCACAGTAGAATAGATTAAGCCCGAACAATCTGTCACAGAAAGATAAGAATCCGGCAGTGGTTCGTCCACCTAGAGGCACTTCGACGATCAAGTCGGTAATCAATATCTTTCAAAGATAGCGAATTGTGCTTAATCTCACAAGAAGGACCTTATCTCAGACCCACGATGGTGCATTGCCTTTGTACCCAGCAATGACCTGATCCCTACTATAATAACCCCGACCTCCAATTAATGCTAATCCATGATTAGTTATGCCTAACAGTAATTTAGAAGGAACCCGAAATTAATTTGCATATGTATTGCATTATCTTTGCGTTTCTATCTGTTTGCCATAAAATGATCTGTTCATGTTTAGACTTTGAACTGCGAATTGAAAGCCTTATCGGCGCCCGAGTCCGAAATTGATTAGTGTTTTAGACTAGTTAGAATATATGTGATTTTATGGTATGTTTAATTAGAATTTGATTTGGTATGATTAAATTAGAATAAATAGTGTTAAATTACATTAAATGGCTTATTTACCAAAATGTCATTAGGTGGACTTCGCTAGACCAATTGTTTAGTCTTGAATTACACTTGTTGGCATCATTTTCATCCATCCTCCTAGACTAAACCGTGAGAAAGAGGGAGAGTGAGAGAAACTTGGTTTCATCAAGAATTTGGCTTGAAAATTTGAGGATTTGTAGAAAAACTACACAATTGAGCTAGCACACCTTGAACTCAAGGCTTAAGGTAGGGAATTCATCCTTTCAATTAGGAAATTGAGTTGTTCTTGCTAGGTCCATGGTGAAATTGGTATTTAAAGTCAAGACTTAGCTCAAAGTGTTGTTTTGAGAGTCAATTCATGCATGCATGCACATATTCTTGGATTTTGGAGTTGTTCTTCATCAATTTCCACATGCGTATCCACATTTTTGTTATAGTCCATGAATTCATCCTATTCTTGAGCTTAATCTTGCTTTGGATTATGTTTTGGAGCATTAGAAGTCATGAGAATTCATGTATGTTACATTTAAGTTATGTTCTTGAAATTTTTTTTGAAATTGTGTTTAATTGACTCACCTTTGGGCTTTGATTTTACAAATTGATCTGTGAAACATCTTATACTATGAGTTTACACCACTGCCCACTCCCTCCCCACCACCACTGTCTTCTTCCTCCTCTCATCACCGCCGATCTGCAACGGTCATCACTGCCGACTCCTTCCCTCCACTGTCCTCCCCCTCCTCCCATCACCGTCGATCTGCAACGATCATCACCGCCAACTCCTTCCCTCCGCTGTCCTCTCCCTCCTCCCATCACCGTCGATCTGCAACGATCATCACCGCCGACTCCCTCTCTCCGATGTTCTCTCCTCTTCCTCCGTTGTCCTTCTCTCCCTCCTTCTATCACCGCCAATCTGCAACGATCGAGCTAGAGTTGAGATCTACAACGATCTAATCTGAGATCTGCAACGATCGAGCTAGAACCCAGATCTGAAGGTAGATCAACGCATCTGGTGTGCTTGTGATGCATTTGGATTTGATGAAGTTTTTTTTTTTTTTTTTGCAGATCTTTTTTTCAACCCTCTGATCTTCAACATCCTCGTCCACGACCACCTCTGTGTTTCAGATCTTCAATTTCATTTTTTTTTTAAGTTGATGATTGTTGTTGATGATGATGAACATACTGATTATTTATTTATTTATTTTTTGTTCTTGTGTTGTGTTGAACAAAATTTAAGAAAAAAAAAAGAGGCCGGGGATATTTCGGGGTCAAAGAAACCCGATCCCCGTTAGGGGACGGGGACGGGGACGGGGGGAGATCTCGTCGGGGATCGGGGGGC